GATAGATAGATAGATAGATAGATAGATAGATAGATGGATAGATGGATAGATGGATGGATGGATGGATGGATGGATAGATGGATAGATAGATAGATAGATAGATAGATGGATAGATGGATAGATGGATGGATGGATGGATGGATGGATAGATAGACAGATGGATAGATGGATAGACGGATAGACAGATAGACAGATAGACAGATAGATAGATAGATAGATAGATAGATAGATAGATAGATAGATAGGCTACTTTATCTGAATGAAAGATAGGATTAAAGGAAGATGACGTGGTTACATCCAGATACACACTTGTTTAAATCACTTTCATGCTAAGGCTAAGCCACCACGTGTCTTATTAGAATTCATCATTTTCAACAGATTTGGCCCATTTTAGGCTGATTTGATGGGACGATTCTCTTTCGTTCTGACACTAGAGGGGGAGTCTGGTTTCAGGGCGTACACGCAGCCCAGCGTTGACACAGCACAGGGACTTCATTTTGCAGCTTCATCTTGTTAGCAGAAACTAATATCCTGTCTGCTACGCTGGAGCAATCTGTGACTGGACTGCTGAGTAGTTTAAATCACAACACAGGAAACACATGGAAAGACGGCGGACAAGCTCCTCGTCAGACTGCAGTTGTTGGAACAGGGAAAGTCGGGGGACGGGAGTGTTGCTATACGAACATGTTTGTCAAATAACTCCAGCACTTCATTTATGTTGATTTCCGTACACTCCTCTTGGAATCTGTACAGCACTTTGTAGCCCTGGTTTGAAAAGTGCGATATAAATAAAGTTTATTATTATTATTATTATAAAACTAACCAGCTTTAGCTCTGAATTAGTCAGAGTAATCTTCATAATTACCAGCGCCTTGTCTTGACTACAACACATCTTATGATGCCGTCCAGTCTGAGCTTTAGTGTTACATTGGTTAGCTTATGTTATTAACACTGTAGGGTCTCATTGTAGTCAGGTGAAGTGTCATTTATAAATACTATGTAAATTATTCAGATAATATCACATCATATCCTAATAATTACACTTGTTAGGCTACTAAATCTGAGTCATTTTTACTGGAGGACACTTTAGATGGTGAATGTGTTATATATATTTAAAAATAAATAAATACATTTTGACATGACCTAACTAGTTTATCTTACGACATCGCATTTGTTTGAATTTATTTTCTTCATTTCTCTATTTGTTTTATGGTAAAGCTGCGACACAGAGAAAGTTATAATTTTGTATTATTATTACAGATTCATAAATACAGCGGGATGAATGTTTTTTTTTTTTTTTTTTTTTTTTAAGGGGCACTGCAGCCAATTTAAGCAAACATGGAAGCAGATTTAGATTTTTTTTATTTTCATGTTGTGTGTTTCTCAGTCTCAACAGGTCGAGTGATCGTAACTCCAGCACTTCAGGACATCGCTGGACAAACCGTGTGCCCCCACTGCCAGCAGCAAGTGACCACCATCGCAACGCTCAAACCGGGCCTGCTGACCTGGGCTGCCTGCGGCGGCCTCGCCATCTTTGCGTAAGAGCAGCTAAAACTACACAAGTTCCAATCTGTTACCACTTCGGGTACAAAGCTGGAAGGGTCTAACTGCTCTCGTCTCCACCTACAGGTGCTGCCTTTGCTGCTGGATCCCGTTCTGCGTCGACGCCTGTAAAGATGTGGAGCACAGCTGTCCATCCTGCCACAAAGTTATCTACATATACAAGCGACTTTGAGCGTGAGGGGCTTTTCTGTAGCTGATTAATAGCCTTACTTGCCCGACAACTTTCTTGGGATACAGATCAAAATGAAAAAAACTCTACTCCTGACTGAGAGAATCAGCAATCGGTGGATTCTTTGTAAATAAAGAAATAATATGAGAATAACATTAAATGCCTTCTGTGGTTAAGCATCATTGTTTACGCTGACATGAGTCCAGCTGGTTGTTGGATGTGTTGAACTTTCTGCTGTGCATCTTTGTGCTTCCTCTCTGCTCGACCGCCTCACTTTCCCCCCCGGTGGTCTTTTCTCATTGCGCCTCATTGTTTTTTGTTTCTATGTTTGACTTAATGAGTCTGCACAGTTTTCAGTCTTGTTTTTCTTTTAAAATGAAATTGTTGGATGTAATCTTTCAACGCATAATAAAGTGATTCTGTGAGCTGGTGCTGTCGGGGTATTGTTTGTTGCTGTAAGGATAAAACCCCAGGAGGAGGCATCTGCAGACTGTCAGGACCGCACCACACCGACTGGGCCTCAAGTTTAGAACCTGCAATACAGGAAGACCAAAGTGCACAACTTATGGTTTTAAAGGATGAATTCACTCCAAATATACGTTGTATATAATTTAAAAGGTTGATGAAAACATCCCGGTCTGCAGACACACCCTACTCCATTTATTGTGTAGGGAGTTTTCTGCAGAACCAGCGGCCAGATTTTTCTCCAGGATGGACGACAGTCACAACGTCAGCACTGATTGTGAACCGGTTTATTTGTTTAACGCTGTAAACATTTCTGAGGTCTTCATTTGTGCAGCAAAGTTGCTGTTAACTGGTGAGAAAGTGTTTTAAATTGTCCTTAAGCGCTGCATTAACGGCTGCGTTGCTGTAAAACCAACTCTGAGCTTGTTTGCTTATTTGTTCGATGTGAATGCTTGTTTATGTACTCGTCGTTTCACAGTTCTAATGATGTCAGTAATGTTGCAGGCATTTGAACTGGTGCCGGCAGAGAAAGCGGAGGTGTATTGATGCCTGTTGGCAGAGCTGCTGCTGTTGTGTAGCTGGTTCTCTGTCACAGTTTACAGAGAACCTTAATGGACCCCAGTCATCAGGTGTTCCTCCTGTGACGAGTCCAAATGTCTGCTGTGAACAGTGAAAGTACCTCCACAGGACGTGTTTTCAGAGTTAGTCTTTTCCTTGTGACATTGTTTTGTACTGTTGAGACACTGAGCCGGATTCATGTTTACTCATGTTTGCAAAATGATCTAAAAGAAGTTCAGTCTGACCAACTGTCCTCTTTGTTTTTTTGAAGGCGCACATAATAAGTCAACAACAGAGATCCTTAAACATATTGAACAAACGCACCACATGCAGCCAAAACTCCCACTGCCCATTCTGTTGCTCAACTTTGTTAAAACTGTTAAAAATAAAATATAATATGCAAAGCAAAAAAAGAGAACAATGTCCAGTTTATCAACTATATCAAAGTTAT